AAAAATGTCAGTTGTCTTCCGCTGGGACAGAATGGTCTCTAGTGCCATCCACGAATTGTTCGCTTCCTAAAAATGTACACAAGTCAACGCCAAGCATTTTAATAGTGTGTATAGACGAGTGGTATAGGTGTATCGTATTACGTTTGGCCAGGGTCGACACAATACACGCTAGATGTGCTTGTAGATAGAGTGCCAGCGACTTGACATATGACACGACACAGTACGTAAGCTTATCCTACGATCTCTGCAATTCGAGAAAAATTATGATGTATCATAATGGACATTCACTCTTACTGCAGATGGTGAGCCTAATGATTATCCTGCCTGCTTGCAGAGTTCTCAGAGGCGACTTTGGATTTATAATATCCCCTATGATCGTCCACAAATAACATGTTCCTGAAAAAAACAGTTTTGATTTTCACCTTGATAAATTGGATCATGCTATGTTAATGCTCTGCCGCCGACCCCTAACAAAGGAACCTTACATGATATAAGTTGTCAGGCGAGTTGTATATGCCCTAGCTGTACCTTCGGGCAGGTGACGCTCCGCGTGGCCAACACCCTACCCGTGTGCTGTTTCTTTAGCTAACGGGCACGGACAGCCCAGCTGTCTTAGGTGCCGTAATATGCTGTGCAGATTTGCGTCCTTTATGCGTGCCTGGATCCTAAAATCGTGGGAACAATGCTCATGGGTTTCACCAAAGTGCTCAGACCTGCATCACTTTGGTGATTACTCTCACTATTAGCTGACGAGATAACTGAAATACTTGTCAAAGTGACCTAAAACCCCTCTCGCGCACTCTATAGCCAGTGTTGGGTGCAGCAGGGTAACTGTGATATATTGATGAATCTTCTTCTCTACTATCATTACCCAAACACCACAGTTGATCTTCTCCAGCACAACACACTGCACGTGCCACGTCCTCCAAACAATCAATGACAGCGATGACATGCTGTTCGCGTAGCAATTTCTTGTTTTAATACGGAATCTCTCAGCTTAAAATGTACTTCAAGCGACTGGAAAATACCCTTCACTCTGGCGATTAAATTTTCACTTTAACAGTGCAAGTAAACTATATTGATGTGTGAATGAAGCTATATTATAATGTGGTAGTGTTATATTGCATTGTGAAAGCAGCTGTATTGTCGTGCGAAGGCAGCAATATTGTCGTGTGAAGGTTGCTGTATTGTCGTGTGAAGGCAGCTGTATTACAATGTGAAGGCAGTCATATTGTCGTGTGAAGACAGCTGTATTACCGGTGTGAAGGCAGCTATGTTATCGAGTGAAGGAATTATATTACAATGTGAAGGCATCTATATTGTCGTGTGAAAACAGCTGTATTGTCGTGTGAAGGCAGCTATATTGTCGTGTGAAAACAGTTGTATTGTCGTGTGAAGGCAGCTATATTGTCGTGTGAAGATAATTATATTACAATGTGAAGGCAACTTTATCATCCAAACCGAAGATGAGCAGTCGAGCATTGCTATGTCTTAACGCTAATGGTGAAGGAGATAGAATTAAAAGAGTACGAGTCAGGTAGTAATGCCTCACAGGGAACGTTTCGCTCTCTCCTTTACCTGCAAACTGTTGGTGAGGCAAATGTGGGGAAGATATTTCTGTCGGCTCATTACATGTTCGGTTTTACCGCCATAAGTTGTGCTATATTCCCTGTACCACTTATAGACCCGTCCTTCCTTGCAACACCCATTCCCCGGGGATGAAGGGCTTGCCATCTCTGGGATGCTGGCAAAATTAGCACACGTTCTGAAATATTCTCCGCCTGTTCAGCTCTAATTTTGTTCAACTAGCGTGTCTACCAACATCGTATATGCACTCTCCCTGATTGATTCACAGGCATGTTGTGGTTTTGTTGATGGAGGCTATTTATGTCTACCCCCTAACACTCAACCCCATCACCCCCCCCACCCCCCCCCCCCCCCCCCCCCCCCCTCATTATTGGTTCTACCTGGAGGATAAATGTAATGCCAAAACCACTCGCAACCATATGTGGCTTACTCTGGTGGAATAAGTGAGTGTCGGAGTGTCGGAATGAGCAGTGTTATTCTGCTGCAGCGGGCATAGTTAACCAAATACGATCTTAAATCGCTTACAGAACTGATGGACCACTAACCAAAGATTGACGCTCCTTGGTGCGGTGTCACTTGAATTCAAACCTTCTCATTCGAGCACTGAACAGTGTAACACACGACCTGAGGTGTTCCTAGAAGCACGCTCACACATAAAAACACGGGGAATGTTTCAATTTAGACCTTCCTTACGATTCATTACCAAACCAATATTCCTTTCACAATACAGGAGATGCGATTTGTTATTCCAAATTTATGTATAGCTATCCGGGACTGGCTCAGACACATTGTACCTACAGCACTCCGTGTGTCAGCTGGCGGGGAGGTGTGTGTGGGTGGGGGGGGGGGGGGGGGGGGTTGGGGGCGGGGTGAGGGCAGCAGTAGGAATCAACAGCTTCGTAGTCGGATGTCTCCGTAAATGTAACTTCATACACTTCCACATATCGTCGTTTAGCTTTATGCCTTCGAGTCTGTTGTACTTGACTTACACTGTTTACTGCGTAGGTCACTGGGTAAATGACCGCCTCTGTGGTCTAGTAGTAGAGCGTCCGCCCGGAGAGCGGAGAGTTCGAGGTTCGATCCCCGGCCGCGTTATACCTAAACCGAGGACTGGTCTGCTCGGAGTCAGTATACTGTGTCTGATCGGGGTATTCATGTTAAACTGCGGCATGGTATCTCAGTGAGCTAGCACTATAAATCGGCATCAGTCCGGACTAGTACAAGCAGCAACACACACACACACGCACGCACGCACGCACGCACGCACGCACGCGTGCTTAATTGCTTAATTTAGACAACGGATAGGTATTTGTAATGTATTGTTCAACTATAAATATATGCATTATTGCTACTGAGCTATATTGGTGTATATTTGGCAAAGGCTCCAAGGGAGCGTCTGCCTCGACCTTGGTGAGTGTAGGGATCCGTTGCGCGCAACAAGCTCTCCCTTGTCGACTATGGTTCCAGTGAACTGAGCACGCTCACAGCTGACTGTGTTACTAACAGCGAGCTCTATCCACATTCTGCCCAAGGCAACACTGTCCAGTCCTCTATCTCTCGCCACCTGTATCTGGATAGTTATCTGCTGGGTATACCAAAAAGTCTTATCTTAGAAGTGAGACTAACAGCAACCCTGGAAACCAAGGATACCACAGGAAACCAACCAAGTTAGACAAACGTCAGGACAGAAAATGCTCGTGGACTGAGGATCAGTGTTTTGTTGAAGGGAGATAACTCGTTTTGTCTTAGAACGCAAATACACCGCATTGAAGAACTGTGTTTGTGTCTTGTGCCTTAGAACTCTTACACGTTGTTAAAATAAAGTAATTACAAAAACATATTTAATCACTGTATAACATGGAACATACTCGCATGTGTATAAATAGTATATGTACGAGGCACTTAGAGAAAATGAACGAGCATCTCAAGGGAGGGGTTGGTTTGCACTTCATTGCGAAATGGGAAATCTTTTTGTACAACGTGCGTGTATTTAAATGTGTTGGTTTTCAAGATGACAGGTGCTCTGTACAAAATGATAGTGTATTGTCCGTTTTTCAGTCGACTAGAATTTCAGAGCGAAAATGTATGATCTTCGTTTTCTAATTGTAGTGATTCATAGGCGGATCCAGAGGAGGGTCCAGGGGGTCCGGACCCCACCCCGTCCGTTTTTTTAAAGTATGTTGTAGGCAGTAAAATTACATGAGAGAGGATTTTGTTGTCTTTCCCATCAGATTACAACACATTCATGGATCAATACATGTATGGAGTTCCTGTAAGGCCACCTGAGTGTGCCGTGCAGTGATCGGAAGTACTCTTTACTCCATGTGAGCTTGTGATGGAATGACCTTGAGGCGACTTTAAATGTTGACGCACATTATGCCTAATGGCAAGACATGCCTTGACGTCAATGTTGTACCTATATACAACCCAATATCTACAACCGCCTTCTTGCTGCAGGGGAGCGCGGAGTAATACACGATCACCTGATCGCTTCCCCGCGTTAGAAGTAACAGTGTTTGGCCTGTTCCGCCCGAACGGTTCTGTGCCAACTTGAAAGTTCTAAACGTACCCTGAGTCTATGTAATGCACCGCGATATTGTATTTATTTGGTGTTTGATCTGGCCACTAGCATACGCTATTACTTAACAAGTACAGTCCATAAGTTGCATGAGGTGTCCCCGTCCACATGCCAGGCCGTCTATTGGATGTATCTCGTTTCACCGGCTTCTCCACCACGAGGCTGCATATCGTAAGGCAATAACATTGTGTATGTAATACACGGTTAGAGGTGCACGGTAAAGTCACCACAGAAGTCACAACAAGAGAGTGTATCTTCCACGTAGCATTTATTAAGTAGAATACTGTACACAGTGCGATAACCCTCGCCTAGTAATCTGTACACAGGGCGATAACCGTCACGTTGTAATCTGTAAACAGTGCGTTAACCCTCGCGTAGTAATTTGTACACAGGGCGATAACCCTCGCATAGTAATCTGTACACAGTGCGATAACCCTAGCATAGTAATCTATACACAGTGCAATAACCCTTGTGTAGTAATCGGTACACAGTATGATAACCCTGGTGTAGTAGTTTGTACACTGGGCGATAACCCTCGCCTAGAAATTTGTACACACGGCGATAACCCTTGCGTAGTAATTTGTACACACGGCGATAACCCTCGCCTAGTAATTTGTACACACGGCGATAACCGTCATGTAGTAATTTGTACACAGTGCAATAACCCTCGCGTAGTAATCTGTACACAGTGCCATAACCCTCGCATAGTAATCTGTACACAGCTCGATAACCCTTGCGTAGTAATCTGTACACAGTGCCATAACCCTCGCGTAGTAATCTGTACACAGTGCGATAACGCTTGCGTAGTAATCTGTACACAGTGCGATAACACTCGCTTAGTAATCAGTTACCCCATACAGAATACAGGACACGGGACAGTTACCCCACACAGAATACAGGACACGGGACAGTTACCCCACACAGAATACAGGACACGGGACAGTTGCCCCACACAGAATACAGGACACGGGACAGTTACCCCACACAGAATACAGGACACAGTCACAGAGCATACTATGGATACAGTACACGTGAGAGTGACAGAGCGTACTATGGATACAGTACACGTGCGAGTCACAGAGCATACTATGGATACAATACACGTGAGAGTGACAGGACATACTATGGATACAGTACACGTGAGAGTCGCGGGACATACTATGGATACAGTACACGTGAGAATCACAGAGCATACTATGGATACACTAAACGTGAGAGTCGCAGGACATACTATGGATACACTACACGTGAGAGTCACAGAGCACACTATGGATACAGTACACGTGAGAGTCGCGGGACATACTATGGATGCAATACACGTGAGAGTCACAGAGCACACTATGGATACAGTACACGTGAGAGTCGCGGGACATACTATGGATGCAATACACGTGAGAGTCACAGAGCACACTATGGATACAGTACACGTGAGAGTCGCGGGACATACTATGGATGCAATACACGTGAGAGTCACAGAGCACACTATGGATACAGTACACGTGAGAGTCGCGGGACATACTATGGATACAATACACGTGAGAATCACAGAGCACACTATGGATACACTAAACGTGAGAGTCGCGGGACATACTATGGATGCAATACACGTGAGAGTCGCGGGACATACTATGGACACAGTACACGTGAGAGTCGCGGGACATACTATGGATGCAATACACGTGAGAGTGACAGGACATACTATGGATGCAATACACGTGAGAGTCACAGAGCACACTATGGATACAGTACACGTGAGAGTCGCAGGACATACTAAAGATACACTACACGTGAGAATCACAGAGCATACTATGGATACACTAAACGTGAGAGTCGCAGGACATACTATGGATACACTACACGTGAGAGTCACAGAGCACACTATGGATACAGTACACGTGAGAGTCGCGGGACATACTATGGATGCAATACACGTGAGAGTCACAGAGCACACTATGGATACACTAAACGTGAGAGTCGCAGGACATACTAAAGATACACTACACGTGAGAATCACAGAGCATACTATGGATACACTAAACGTGAGAGTCGCAGGACATACTTTGGATACACTACACGTGAGAATCACAGAGCACACTATGGATACAGTACACATGAGAGTCGCGGGACATACTATGGATGCAATACACGTGAGAGTCACAGAAAATACTATGGATACACTACACGTGAGAGTCGCGGGACATACTATGGATACAATACACGTGAGAGTCACAGCACATGCTAAGGAAACAATACACGTGAGAGTCACAGAACATACGATGGATACAATACACAATTACTAAACATATCATATACATGTATACTGTTGTTAACTGTCACCCCATATACGTATTACGTTGTTCACAGTCATCCCATATATTACGTTATTCACTGTCATTCCATACAGTACGTTGTTCACTGTTATCCCATATATAACGTTTTTCACAGTCACTCCATACAGTACGTTGTTCACTGTTATCCCATATATAACGTTTTTCACAGTCACCCCATATATTACGTTTTTCACAGTCACCCCATATATTACGTTTTTCACAGTCACCCCATATATAACGTTTTTCACAGTCACCCCATATATTACGTTTTTCACTGTCACCCCATATATTACGTTATTCACTGTCGTCCCATATATTACGTTTTTCACTGTCACCCCATATATTACGTTTTTCACAGTCACCCCATATATTACGTTATTCACTGTCATCCCATATATTACGTTATTCACTGTCATCCCATATATTACGTTATTCACTGTCATCCCATATATTACGTTATTCACTGTCATCCCATATATTACGTTTTTCACTGTCATCCCATATATTACGTTATTCACTGTCACCCCATATATAACGTTATTCACAGTCACCCCATATATTACGTTTTTCACTGTCACCCCATATATTACGTTTTTCACAGTCACCCCATATATTACGTTATTCACTCTCACCCCATATATTACGTTATTCACTGTCATCCCATATATTACGTTTTTCACTGTCACCCCATATATTACGTTTTTCACTGTCACCCCATATATTACGTTATTCACTGTCATCCCATTTATTACGTTATTCACTGTCACCCCGTATAGTAAGCTGTTCACTGTCACCCCATATATTACGTCAGTCACTGTAACACCATATATTACGTCAGTCACTGTAACACCATATAGTAAGTTATTCACTGTCATCCCATATATTACGTCATTCACTGTCACCCCGTATAGTAAGCTGTTCACTGTCACCCCATATATTACGTCATTCACTGTCACACCGTATTGTAAGTTATTCACTGTCGTCCCATGTATTACGTTTTTCACTGTCACCCCATATATTACGCCATTCACTGTCACACCGAATTGTAAGTTATTCACTGTCACCCCTTATATTACGTGTTTCACTGCCACACCGTATAGTAAGTTATTCACTGTCACCCCGTATATTACGTTTTTAACTATCACCCTGTATAGTAAGCAGATCACTGTCAGCCCATATATTACGTCATTCACTGTCACCCCGTATAGTAAGTTATTCACTGTCATCCCTTATATTACGCCATTCACTGTCACACCATATAGTAAGTTATTCACTGTTACCCCTTTTATTACGTCATTCACTGTCACCCCTTATATTAAATTAATCAGTCACCCCATATATAACGTCATTCACTGTCATCCCGTATTGTAAATTATTCAGTCACCCCATATATTACGTCATTCACTGTCACCCCGTATAGTAAGTTATTCACTGTCACTCCATATATTACGTCATTCACTGTCACACCGTATGGTAAGTTATTTACCGTCAACCCATATATTACGTTTTTCACTGTCACCCCGTATAATAAGGTGTTCACAGTCACCCCATATATTACGTCATTCACTGTCACCCCGTATAGTAAGCTGTTTACTGTCACCCCATATATTATGTTATTCACTGTCACTGTATCAACTTAGTTGCCATTTATTCCAATGTGAACCTATGTTGGTTAGTCCACCTTTTTGTCCAACTGAGTGACCCGTCTCGCTCGATCACTCAACGCCCTGTCGGCCTGTGGGCCAGCTTCTGTCTTCCTTTGCTCCTATTGTGTGAGGGTGCGGCGCAGAGTGCACCCCGCTCTACAGCTTCCTGGCGTCAGCACCGGATCTGCATAAACATTGAAACTAGAGCACAATTTGGTTGCCATTAGAGAGTCTGGACACAAACTAGTTGGGTCAAGGAAAGATTGTGGAAGTACAGTAAGAATTGTACGAAGTTTGTTGCGATCTGATCCCGAGATAGTGACGGATGCGAGTATCACAACAAAGAGACTGGGTTACAGTCGAATCCAAAGATGGATTTCTTCCTGGATCTGTTTGATTCTGATAAAAAGAACAGAAAGAAGGAGGAAAGTAAATTAAAGGCATCCCCTGGAAAGGGTGCTAGCTGTCCCGACCTCCCCCCACTAAGGAGAGACAAGGGGCAGCTTCTGAAGAAGTATGACACGCGGGAGGCCACTCGTGTCAAAGACGATCGCATGAGAAGGGAATTGCAAAGGTTATACTTGTGGGACGGTAAGTTTAGAGTCCATCGTAACCATTTAAGCAGACGTCCAGGGCAATATATTTGTATACATACGGCTCCTCACATCAGTTGATTGTTATGTGTGGTGATTATCAATAAACGGCACTCAAACTCGAATCATCTCCGGTAAATCCGCGTACAAGGTGTTATAGCGGGGCATTATGACTACACATGGGAGATATTGTAAGGAAGGGAGGGCTGAGCACGCTCCACAGACTAAGCGCTTGGCGTCTTTGCGGCATCTGAACATAATAACACGGCGTATATGTTGGAGACAACATTTACCTCTTACACTATTTTAACAACAATATTCTATTCAGTCGGACAATATGAACTTTTCTGTAGCAAGTTAGAATAAGACATCACATGAAACGGACGTCACACTTCCATCAAACATGATTGTAACATAATTGTCTATAAAATGTTGTTGACGTACCACACACAATGAAGAGATGAATGTACATATGGATTGGCAACAATTTTTCCCTGCATATTCCTTCGCTTAGCAAAGATCTTGACCTATCCCCTGCGCGAAAGGCGTCGTAATCCTTCAATTTTGTACGAAAAAATACATTTCTGATTTACTGACCCATGAAAGAAAATCATCCAAGTATAAGCATAGGCAACACGACCAGGACTAGGGGACGTGGAGTCGCGGGTACAAAGAAATATATCTAATATAATTAATGACAGATCACCACTTCCATGCAAATGTATACATGCCGTGAAGCACAATTATTACACTGAGAAAGAGAAAAGTGTGCTCATTCCCACTTCCCAGCATTTTCTGAAACATTTGTTTGCTCATGTTCCTCACGGACACACAACACAACTTTCGTGGATGTCCTGCATGTTGCTCACACTCACACACAACTGTCGTGGATGTCCTGCATGTTGCTCACTCTCACACACAACTGTCGTGGATGTCCTGCATGTTGCTCCCCTCACACACAACTTTCGTGGATGTCCTGCATGTTGCTCACTCACACACACAACTGTCGTGGATGTCCTGCATGTTGCTCACTCTCACACACAACTGTCGTGGATGTCCTGCATGTTGCTCCCCTCACACACAACTGTCGTGGATGTCCTGCATGTTGCTCCCCTCACACACAACTGTCGTGGATGTCCTGCATGCTGCTCCCCTCACACACAACTGTCGTGGATGTCCTGCATGTTGCTCACTCACACACACAACTGTCGTGGATGTCCTGCATGTTGCTCCCCTCACACACAACTATCGTGGATGTCCTGCATGTTGCTCCCCTCACACACAACTGTCGTGGATGTCCTGCATGTTGCTCACTCACACACACAACTGTCGTGGATGTCCTGCATGTTGCTCCCCTCACACACAACTGTCGTGGATGTCCTGCATGTTGCTCCCGTCACACACAACTGTCGTGGATGTCCTGCATGTTGCTCACTCTCACACACAACTGTCGTGGATGTCCTGCATGTTGCTCCCCTCACACACAACTGTCGTGGATGTCCTGCATGTTGCTCACTCACACACAACTGTCGTGGATGTCCTGCATGTTGCTCCCCTCACACACAACTGTCGTGGATGTCCTGCATGTTGCTCCCCTCACACACAACTGTCGTGGATGTCCTGCATGTTGCTCCCCTCACACACAACTGTCGTGGATGTCCTGCATGTTGCTCACTCACACACACAACTGTCGTGGATGTCCTGCATGTTGCTCCCCTCACACAAAACTGTCGTGGATGTCCTGCATGTTGCTCCCCTCACACACAACTGTCGTGGATGTCCTGCATGTTGCTCCCCTCACACACAACTGTCGTGGATGTCCTGCATGTTGCTCCCCTCACACACAACTGTCGTGGATGTCCTGCATGTTGCTCCCCTCACACACAACTGTCGTGGATGTCCTGCATGTTGCTCTCCTCACACACAACTGTCGTGGATGTCCTGCATGTTGCTCACTCACACACACAACTGTCGTGGATGTCCTGCATGTTGCTCCCCTCACACAAAACTGTCGTGGATGTCCTGCATGTTACTCCCCTAACACACAACTGTCGTGGATGCCCTGCATGTTGCTCACACTCACACACAACTGTCGTGGATGTCCTGCATGTTGCTCCCCTCACACACAACTGTCGTGGATGTCCTGCATGTTGCTCACACTCACACACAACTGTCGTGGATGTCCTGCATGTTACTCCCCTAACACACAACTGTCGTGGATGCCCTGCATGTTGCTCACACTCACACACAACTGTCGTGGATGTCCTGCATGTTGCTCCCCTCACACACAACTGTCGTGGATGTCCTGCATGTTGCTCACACTCACACACAACTGTCGTGGATGTCCTGCATGTTGCTCCCCTCACACACAACTGTCGTGGATGCCCTGCATGTTGCTCACACTCACACACAACTGTAGTGGATGTCCTCCATGATGCTCACTCTCACACACAACTGTCGTGGATGACCCGCATGTTGCTCACACTCACACACAACTGTCGTAGATGTCCTGCATGTTGCTCCCCTCACACACAACTGTCGTGGATGTCCTGTATGTTGCTCACTCTCACACACAACTGTCGTGGATGGCCTGCATGTTGCTCACTCTTACATACAACTGTCGTGGATGTCCTGCATGTTGCTCACTCTCACACACAACTGTCGTGGATGTCCTGCATGTTGCTCCCCTCACACACAACTGTCGTGGATGTCCTGCATGTTGCTCACTCTCACACACAATTGTCGTGGATGACCTGCATGTTGCTCACTCTCACACACAATTGTCGTGGATGACCTGCATGTTAATCTCCTCACACACAACTGTCGTGGATGTCCTGCATGTTGCTCACTCTCACACACAACTGTCGTGGATGTCCTGCATGTTGCTCCCCTCACACACAACTGTAGTGGATGTCCTGCATGTTGCTCCCCTCACACACAACTGTAGTGGATGTCCTGCATGTTGCTCACTTTCACACACAACTGTCGTGGATGTCCTGCATGTTGCTCCCCTCACACACAACTGTCGTGGATGTCCTGCATGTTGCTCCCCTCACACACAACTGTCGTGGATGTCCTGCATGTTGCTCACTTTCACACACAACTGTCGTCGATGTCCTGCATGTTGCTCCACTCACACTAAACTCGTACATCCATATTGGTTCCTTGTTTGTGGTTTACGTAAGGACACTGTGACGTACATCCATATGTACACCTTGTTTGTGGCTTTCCTTAGGACACTGTGACGTACATCCATATGTGTACCTTGTTTGTGGCTTACCTAAGGACACTGTGACGTACATCCATATGTACACTTTGTTTGTGGATTACCTAAGGACACTGTGACGTACATCCATATGTGTACCTTGTTTGTGGCTTACCTAAGGACACTGTGACGTACATCCATATGTGTAACTTGTTTGTGGTTTACCTGAGGACACCATGACGTACATCCATATGTACTCTTTGTTTGTGGCTTACCTAAGGACACTGTAACGTACATTCTTATGAATGCATGTTGCTGACTTACAGAACACAATGGCACACAGTTGTGATGCACGCTTTGCATGTTGCATTTTATTGAGTACTATGACATACAGCAGTGGTGTATGCCTTGTGAGGTGTCTTTATAGGACGGTATGCCGTATGATCACCACGTATGCCATTGTTATATCATAATGAATAATGTCGAGAACAGCCTTGCACATTGGATGACAGTGGTAACTGTCATACATGAAGGGACTAGGTGATGCTTTATTGCTTGCACTGCCTCTTCAAGCGACACCAGATTCATTAGTTTGAATCTTATTATTCTGGACTAGCCTAAGTATTGATCAGAAATCGCAATGACATTGCAAAGCAGAAATTATATTCGAGCGTTGCATGACATTTGGCATGGGAGCCACAGACACGGAGTAAACATCCATTCCACTCATCCTTGCTGAGCACTAAATTAATGCGCGCGCACACACACGCACACACACACACACACTTGACGTGTGTGTGTGTGTGTGTGTGTGTGTGTGTGTGTGTGTGTGTGTGTGTGTTCATATATTCATATATTCGAGCGTTGCATGACATATATAATTAAGTATTCTCTTCGGGTGTGTAAGCACACTTTCCAGATATTTGTGCTTGTCAAATCTCCTTTATTCCTTTATGTATAGCGACTGACTACAAACGTCTGAGTATATGGAGTAGCTTCTTGTGATCAACGACGCGTAGAAAACAACGAAATTGCATTACACTATTCTTAGTAACAGTGACAAAAGGAACCAGCCTTGAGATGTTAATGTTAAATATAGAATTGCCCCGAAGCAAATAGACTGTTATGGGTCAAGTATTTCTTGAAATGATCATCTGCACTGTCTTGTGTATATGTATATACACAAACGCTATTTCGCCACACACACTACATTTGCTTGTAGCCATCCTAAAAAGGCAGTTACTACAGTAAAATGTTTATTTGCATGCGTAAAAATACCATAACCATACACCCTTGATCTGTCTATCTCGCTAGCCAGTTAGTTATTCGGCTTCCCCGTGGCAACAAATTGCCAAATCGGTTTGCAATCACTAAAATAATACACCAACCTCATAATTAGTTAGCAATAACATAGCATCACCTATACGTATATTTTCATGTTCGTCTGAAGCCCTTGTAAAGCGGATTTAAATGAAAATCGAGTCTATCATTAGGCTAATAGCGCGAGATTCCCCGTTAATTGACGAGACGCGCTAACGTTATCGCCATTTTAAATTCTAGAACGTCAATAACAATGCCACAAATCATTGTGAAAAATAAACAAAGTATGGACCTTGAGGAAGGTAAATCGATGCCCGAGGGTAGGTTTGTTTATCGTTCACATGCTTTTACTGATGGATGAAAGATAAGTCCTGTGGTGCTCTATGTCCAGGCCTATAAGGCAAATGATCTTGGTGTGACAGGTTCAGTATCAACGCTATATTTTGGGTAGACGCTTTGGGAGTCTTGGTATA